CGGCAGGTAGCTCTCTGTGTCATTGGAAGTAGGACATACCTGGAGGGGGCGGAGCTGCGAACCGTGTATGTGCTCGCCACGAATGCCCTGAGATTAGGGTGTTGCCCAGAATACTTGCAGCTATTAAAAGAAAGCCAGCTGTCAGCCCAAGTGCCTATGGAACGGAATGTCGATGGTGATTAGAGAAGGCCAGATTCTGGAACGCTGGAAATGCCGTGTGCACAGGCCCAGAGGCTGCCCTTCCCCCTCAGCTGACAGCTCCCCACCCTGCCCCTCCACTCACACCCACACAGCACCCCCAGCTCCCGGGCTTTCTCGGGCTTCCCCAGCAAGACCAAGACCAGAGGCACTTTCCTGCCTTCCTTCCCCAAGGCTGCTCCCCTGCCTGTCCCCGAGAGGGGGAGCCCTGGGTGGGCTGCTCCCTACCGTTGCAGGGCCCCTGCCTCTATCAGCGTTCCCATCCCAGGGAGCACCACTCCCCAGAAAGGACTCCCTCCCCAGCCCTGGGCCCGGGCACTGTGCATGACCACAGAGGCCAGTGCAGAGGCCGGCAGCATCCCCCAGGCTGGCGGGCGAGGCAGTGATGAGAGGCACTGTGGGCTGGGGTGGGGCACCGGGCAGAGAGGGACAGCACATCAGCCGTCACCTAACACGTGTGATAAGCGCCACCATCGAGGTATCAGCACACAGGGTGCTGAAAGCAGGGGCAAGGCCCCAAGGGCTCCCAGGAAAGGTGGAGGTAAATCAGGGATTGCCAGGCAGGATGGGGCCGGGAGGGGGTGGGGTTTGGCTGGTCCAGGCTGGGAAACAGCCTGTCCAAACACAGCGGGGCACAGGGGAGCTCAGCATGTTCTGGAACAGAATGTCTCTCTGTGACCCCGGGAGCAATCAAGGGACCCTGGGAGCAGTCAAGGGACCCTGGGAGCTGGCGGTAGGGATGTAGAAGGATAGAGGGGCCGGAGGTGGTGGGAGCCATAGGGAGGCCCAACCAGGTGCTGGCCTGAAGGTCTCCTTCCAGACCCTTGGAGGGCTTAGCGGCGCACTGAGGTGGGCTGGGTCAGCTTGGCAGAGTTGCCGGGCCTCTCTGCAGTGGCTGGGGAAGGACAGGTTGAGTGGAAGGAGCTGGCAGAGAAGAGGGGAGAAGCCAGTAGGACAGGCAAGGAGTGAGGCATTTAAGGCAGCAGGGAGAGAGGAGACGCCTGCGCGTGCGGACAAGGGGTGGAGGGAAGTGGAGAACTGGATGCTGGGGGTGAGGAGAGCTCAGTCTGGCCCCCAGGAGTCTGAGAGCCTGGGGACATCCCAGGGGGCTATCCCACAGGCCGCACTGCTGGAGAAGGCCCATCACCCATCCAGGACAAAACCCGGTCCCTCCACGTAACCTCCCTTCAGCACGCGGTACCCCAGACACAGAGGGTCACTGGGAGACTATTCCCAGGGGACATTCCTTGGCTAAGCAGATGTATGCTGTTTGCTTTCAGACCAAGGGGCTGCTCCCCAGCCTGGACCCCAGGATGTAGCGTGCCCATCAGCTCTGCCTTCCTCCTGGGACATGTCCAGCCCCCTCAGGTCCCCCTCACACACACTGACCCAGGATTACCCTGTGGGCCTGGGGGCTTTGGAAGTGGCCTTGTCACCCACGCTGTGCTGGATTCATGGCCACATCCCACACGTCCCTGCTCTGCAGAGCGGTCTGCACCCCACTTCTCAGCTCAACAGGCTGCACCCCAGGCTCAGTCTGAAGAGTGGACACCCTCCCATTGCCTGCAGTCGTCCGCCTCTCCTCAAATGCTGTGTGCTGCCATTGTCCAAGTGGTGACAACGGCGATGGCTCCGGAGGACACAACCAGCTGCTTATGAGCTGCCCCTGCGCCCGGGCTGGGCATTTCCCTGGCACGGGAAGGGCGGCACTGCTTCTCCCGCAGCCAAAGCCCAGCGCAGACCTTTACACACTGGAAACTGGTACTCAGCCCTGGCTTTCCCCTCAGTGCACGGTTCCCACCACCGCCCGCCCTCTTGTGCCATGTGCGTTTGGGGCACACGCTCCTGTGTGTATGTATTTGCTTGCACACCAAGCACAGGCATGCACACATGGCGCCTGTGGCTTGTTTCAAATCAGTGGTCTGAGTTCATCCCAGGGCTGTGTGGCTCTGGCGGGGTGTGGAGAAATAAAAAGCAGAGAAGGTCTCCTTGGATAGGCACTGTCTCTTCCTGTTGGTGCCGCGATGGGAGAGAGACCCCAGGCCTGGCCTCTGACGCCCGCAGCAGCCTCTCTTCCTCCTCCCCCTCGGTCTCCCACCTCGTGAATTTCACTCCCCAAACCCCCACCTCAAACTGCAGGGAGCAGACTGGAGGAGGAGCAAAGTCCAGGCTTGCCCCCATCCCTGCTCCCCAAGGAGCTGCTCTTCTTGGGAAGCGGCTCACGCCCAGCCTGTGAGCACCAGCTGCTCTCTGGCTGGCTTCAGTTCTCCCAGGGGAGGCAGATGAGGGAGGCTGGCCTTTCTCTTTAAGAGCATTCTTCCAGCTACCCCTCCCTTTCCCCAGAGGCAGCCTCAGGCATCAGATGGTTGCCTGTGTCCAGAGAAAGAGCCTGCAGCTCCAGGTACAGCCTAGCCCGGGGCTCCCCGACCGTGTGCCTTTCCCCACACCGGTCATGCCCTGCTGCCGGGTCCTCTCCAGCCTGGCAGGACAGATGGCCCCTACCCCCAGGAAAAGGGTAAAGCCAAGGATGGATTGGATGGGGCCTGAGGAAGGGGCAGGGGACGGGATGGGGGAGGTCGGGGTGCTGGCCATGAGCTGCTGGCCTCCTGGGCCAGGGCCAGGCAGCGAGGACAGCTGGGCTCCTGACACAGGGCAGAGGAGGTGGTGAAGTGGGGGAGAGAACACAGGTCCCTCCCTGGCCTCTTCCACTTGATAGTTCTGTGGCCTTGGGCAGGTTACCAAATGCCCCTGTGAAGTGGGGACTCCTTGCCATGCGGGTTGTATGCGCTAGGCCCAGGGCGTGAGGCGGGTGCTGGCAGCTGCGAAATTACTCACACCCAGGCCCGCATGAGTCTTCAGGGCCCAGCTCAGGCCAGAGTCTTCCAGGAGGGCCGAGAACAGCCCGGTTGCCTTCCCTGAGCCTCAGTTTCCCCAACAGGGAACCAGAGTGGGCCTTGAGCTACCTCCAGACCACACAGGGCCTGAGATCTCTTCTGAGGAAAGGTCCAAAGACCACCCTGGCAGGAATCCCCAGGGGCCTAGGCCCCCACTCGGAACACACTGTCTCTGGGTTATGGGCTGAACACACCACACACATTTTCCCTTCCCTGCCCCTTCTGGCCCCTTGTCCCAGCAGCTGAGCAAATGGCCTCTCCTCCCCTCCTCCCTGCCCCCTGCCATTCCGGCGCAAAGGGCACGGGGGCCTGGCGTGCGACACTGGCAGCTGGAGCTTTCCATGCTGCTGTCAAGTTTTCCAGAGCACAAATGAGACAGGAGAGCCAGGAATAACTGCTGGGCCCCCGGAGGGTCTGGAGGGTGTGGGCCAGCCTCAAACCTGTTTTCAGACCCTGTGCTGAGGGTGCAGGCAGGGCCCCCCGCCACAGCCAGGTTTGGGCATCCGGAGGCGCCTGCAGCCACTGGGAGCCCATTATCTGGCATGAGTTCCCATAGGAATAAGCTCAGGCTCCAGTGTGGCCTGGGTTTACTACCTGTGTGACCTTAGGAAAGTCACTCAACCTCTCTGAGCCTTGGTTCCTGTGGGACAAGTAGCAGCCTCTCAGGATCTGAGGGGATTACGGTGTGAGGGGCCTGGAGCTGAGCTGGACCAGGTCCAGAGCTGCTTCTCTTGTGATCGTTTTGTGGCTGGACAACCCTGGGCCAGTTACCAAGCTCCTGAGCTGACACTCTGTCCGGACAAGAGGGAGGCTCAGCTGGGTCCTAGCCACCACCAGGGCTCCGCACTAGATAAGGCACAACTTCAAGGTCCTCGCCAGGGAACACAGGGCA